CGCCAAAATTCTTGTTATGGTCACAAACAGACTCTTAAGAGCCTATTGGACATGACTTTCAATGAATAGAGATAAAGATTCTCATTTCTTGCCTTTATTCATCCATACCTTGTTTTTATTCTTCCAAATAAGCTTCTTCGAGGTTTAGATGTTTATCTTTGAGTTCCAATTTTTTCTTTAAATTTTATACAATATATCTAAATTATTTATAATTTAAATATTATAATAAAAATAAGTAAATCTTTAAATAAAATTTCTTACATCAGCTTCTTTTAAATTAAGCTACTAACCATTCTAATGTACATCAATATTTAGAAATATATTATATATTTTAGTTAATTTTTACATACTATAAATAATTAAAATACAACATCACATCCTCTACTCTCTCCCAATCATTAGTTGAATCTTCTTTGATAGACTTGTCAGCCAAGAGCACGAACAGCATATCCTCTAGTGCTTCATCTACTACTTGTAAAAAGAGTTCAGTCTTCCTTAAACCTAATAAAAGTTTCTTTGAAGATGAAAGTTGATAGATTTTTCTCTCAAATTTTCTAAGCAACTCATTGAAGGCTATAGACCTCTCCAATTGTTATTCAATCTACTCCAAAAATGACCTCTTGATAATTCTATCAAAATCTCTATCATAAAATTCATCTTTCAACCTCCTTCCTAAGTCACTTCAAGCATTTAAATCATCTCCATGCAAATTCTTTACTCTCTTCTTAATTTCAAGAATACATGTTAATTAAACACTAAGAATATACTAGGACTTGAAGACTTGATGTACTTCCATCTCTTCCATATATGCTCAGAAAAACTTACTGATGTTCCTTCCATTAAATCTTCCATGGTTTTTGATCATGCCTTGATCATATCCTTTTCACTTGCTTGTGACTTTTATTATCTCTTCATAAACATATTCAAAGCCAAGAGCAAATTATTGGTACTTATTCCTCCAATGTCATTTACATTGGCTCTTCCAAAATCACCCATCATCTTCAAATATTACAAATCTTTTATTTATTTTTTTAAATCTTAAACTCCTCTTCATGCTCCAAGCTTGTACTCTAGCTCTATAACTCTATTGTGCTTTACTTATACTCCTGATTGTAGTAAACATGCTCTTAATAAAAGCACCAAATTTATTTCAAGAAAATAAATCTCTTCAAAGAAATATGAGGCTCTTGATTGCAAGTAGGTTGTAAGAAGCACAATGTTATCTAAATGAATTCAAATATAAAAGAGTAGCTTAAAGGTTGAATACAAATTTTAGATTAATTTCTTTCTTGTATTAAGATGCATCCAACCTCAAATTCTAATTTTAAATTCAAACCTCTTTTTATTAAAATACTAATAAGTTACTTAATACTAATTTAATTTAAGCAAAATTTAGCTCATTGAACTTAATTCAAGCTATAAACTTCAAATTTTCATAGTAAATAAATAAAATTTTAAAAAAATGAGAGTCAAAACAAAGAAAAAATGTTGGCTTTTAGTTGTAGTTGCTGCCTTCAAAACCCTTGTCTACAAATTAGCTTGGATCTCCCATATCACAATTCTTTTTCTTAAAAATCTAACAAAAAGCTCTACTTTTCTTTAAAATCTCAGAATAAAAAAAATAAAAATGCAAAAAATGGCATAAAAAATACTAAACTAGTCTTGAATGTTGTTGCCCAAAAATTCCAATGACTCTCCTTCTACAAATTTGCATGAATTTCTCTAGTTACAATTCTTCTTTTTGTATGCTAAAGCTTTTTGGAAAGCTAACAATGAGATCTACCTTTCCATAAAATCTCAAGACAAAAAGAAGAAAATCTAATGTATGGCATAAAAAATCCCAAACTAATCTTGAAACCTACTGCTCAAAAACTCTAGCGACCTCCCTCCTACACATTTCTACCCAAGTACAAAAAAAAAAAAAAAAAAAAAAAAAAAAAATCACTTGATGCCAAAATTCTTACCTTGATCTTCTTCCAATACCCACCTTGAATTACTATAGAGCCAAATATGTATCCTGTAAGACAATACCCTCAAAGCTTAAACAATCTATTTAAGGCAACAAACTCATATTTTAAATCCCACTCAAATTTGTAAATATATTAGCATTATATTCCTCCTTCTTTACAAGAAATACTAATTATCTTCCAAATATCATAGATATACTTAAATTAAGTGCATCTCTACACCAAGAGATAGAGCATATTTTTTTAGATTAATTTCATTGTCAATGTCTAGAAAATGTACATTCCCTCGACCATTCATTGCATGCAATCTACTATCAGCAATAACTATCGATTGTTGCTTTGGTGTTGTTTCTAAAATTGAAAAAAAATCTTGATCGCCAATGAAGTGCCTCGAAGCTCCACTGTCAATAATCCAGTCCTTTTCTTGCTATGATACTATAGATAATATTTTCAATGTAAGTTGGATCTCGCTTTCGGTGGAATACTGTTCGGTTGATGTTTCTTTCACGAGGTTTGTTTTCTGTTGATAACTGCTTGTTGATTGGGACTCTAACATGTGGCAAAATCTTCCAATCTGCCCCAGTTTGCCACATCGGTGTTGGTTATTCTTGTAATTCTGTCGCTGCTGAGAATTCATCCTTTGTTGGTTAAAATTGTTCGTGGAGCTCGAGGCTTTGTATTCCATGAAGGGTTTTGATTTTTCTTGTATAATATTCCTAACCTTGGAAGATTAATGCCTCCTCGTTTGGATCTGCTCTCAGACTCATCTGCATCTCTTCCATATAGAGTCTGCTGGCTAGATTTGTGAGCAATTCCGCTCGCAGAATCCTTACAAACGTTTCATATTTTATCAGAAGGTTTTTGAGAATTTTGTGTACCACCACAATATCCAAGGGCAGCTTATCAATCTCTCTCAGATCATTAAATACATCATAAACATGCTGCATAAATGTGGATATCGACATGTCCTCTGACATTTTTAGATTCTCCTACCTATCTAGAATTTTCATCACATCTGCAATAGTTTGTGTGGAATACACTTTTGCTAAGATCTCCCAAAATATTGCAGGATCAGAAGCATTTATGATATGAGGTTTTACCATTTCTGTTACCGAAAGATGGAGAAACCCCGTCGCTCGTCTTTTTTGCCCGCGGAGATTCTCTTACTTATGTGGTGTTGGCTGTGCAGCCTCCAAGCTGGGGCTCCCAATACCTTCAAATCCTCCTCCGGTTTCCATCGTTGATGTAGTCCCACTTCTTGATGATGCTGTCTAAGCGTGCGGTTTCTTGGGTGAGCTCTTCGTTGGTACCACCACGTCCCACAAATCTTCTCTTTCAAGTATGCTCTGTATCGTACTCATCCACGCCTTGTAATTTTCTGGTCTTGCCAGCATTTTGGATTGCATAATGATAGAGTCCATAGTGCCCACATCACAATTCTCGTGACTAGATGTTTCTAACTCACGTTTACCTGCTCTGAAATCATGATACATTCAACAGCAGTAAAAGGCTAAGCAATTTCTATGACTGAAAATAAAGCACTGCGATAAGTATTTGAGATGCACAGTGTCACTTATTAAGAAAACGTCACATTCAAGCAAAAATAACATGAGAGATTAGCAAAAGGTAACACCATACAAGTGCTGGCTAACTGTCGATTAAGATCCAAGATTAGAAACTTATACAAAAGTTTTACCCCGATGGATAGATACCAAGTCAAGGATTATGTTCCTGTACCTCCTATTGATATCTAGGTTCTTTATGTTCTGACCGAGGGGGCGTATCGTCCAACAGTTATAACATAATAGAACTTTTTGATAGTAGAGGAGATTGATGTCACCGGGGAGGTTATCTCCGACAGCTGATTACATTATCTTACACTCAATCTTTGAGGCGAGGATTGCCTTTTCAAAGATTATAAATTCTTGAAAAGGAATTGTTGTAGAAGCTTTAGAAAATTATATCATTTCTCAATAATTGCTTGAAATGAATCACCACCGATTAACATTTATTTTTTTCAGTTCTTGTGAGGTTGTTTTAGGGGACTTTTCCCAGCACCGTTATCAGAAGTTTAACTCCACCAATGGTGAGTAATGCTTATTCGCTGCTTCATTCTGTCTTAGTTCACCACGCCGACACATAAATTACATGTGAATATTAAGGTGCTTGGACTTTGGTGCGGCATTTGATCAATACTACCTTGAATAGGCTTCATCATTCATGTTACTACAAGGAATAATGAAGCCCATGACTGTCAGTGCAGACCAAGAACTGGGCGAACTTCATCACGTCTGTGCATGGATATGTACGTTGCTCAGCCCAGTTGTATAGATTTCTTCCAAGCTCGGTGTGAAGTATTCGCTAAAACGTATTGTCTGATGCCGAAGAATTCGAATACATCTATCTTTCTACACAGACGAAGAAGTACCAAAGAATTGACAGCAAAGTCCAAGGTTGTCATTAGTAAAGACTTTCGACTTGAAGTATGTTCGCAAGCAAATAATAGAGCTTCCTGCCTATTGAAGAGGAGAATTTCAACGTCCTCGTGCTAAGGAATACCGACGAAGCTGTTTGAGAATCTCTTTCCACGCCACAAAGCAAGCCGTTGAGAATAGCGAAGGTTGTCATGTTCAAAAGCATTTCCAGAATGCCGATTTCACATCCTTGTCTCAAACCTCGCGAAGCGGCTACAGTTTGTCTCAACGAAATCCATTTGCCAACCATGCACCTCCAGCCCTTACATGATCACAGTAATTAAAGCGACTGTTTCGAATGTGCCTGATAGCTTAGAACGTAAGTCTGATGCTCTTGAATCTCTGAGAAGGATTAGAATATATTATCATCAGCCTTAGGGAATGCAGTGGGTGACAAGGCTCAAGGAAAAAAATATGGCACAGTCGTCCATGCTTGTTGGTCGAGCTGGAGGGGCTATCAGACCATGTTTTCTGGGATCAATGCTTGTCATCACTTCCCAGCGCTTGGAATTCAACAGCTGCTTGGTCAAGAAGGTATTTCCATTTCAGATACAATATATGTTTTCAAGTATCCAAACTTTGTAGCTTTTTATTAAAACCCAAGAAGCCGAAGTTTGAATATGAATCGCAGCAATCGATGCTGTTGATTCAAAATGATACTAACGTCCACTGTGTACAGACACATGAGATCGATCCACTCTCATAACCTCGCAAAACGACACACTGAAACCTCCCCAAACGGAGCTTCAAGTGCAGGCACTCGCCTTTATTGTTCATTACTCGTCTCTGCGGACTGGAAGAATACCATGCCTGATCAGGAAATTGAAACCCGACACTCGGTTGAACAGAGGCTAAGAATTTTTTTAATACTAGTACAAGAACACTACTTTAATCTGAGGAGCTCGCCAGCAAAGTCGAAGGGCGTGATCGATTACGCTGTCCAGCGATTTAGTCTTATTGATTCTGCTTTCTTCTAGGATTTCCAACCTTGTCGATGGTCTGTACTAAGCCGATGATCCCTCTCAGTTGCGGTGTGACTGATCGATTCAACCCTGTCTTCCATTCTGGTCAGGTCATGGCAGCATCGACAGTCTTATTTGGTTGATGGAGGAGTCCGGTATACTGCCTACTGTCGGTATCCATCGTTCACGTCAGAGTGCCAGATTTTACCCGATTTTCACCCACCATGCGTATCCCACGACACCATCCGCCACCGGGAACAGCATGTAATACCCCGCGGGTGCAACTTGTTGCGAAGGGGGAGCTGCCGAGTCAACATTGTATCCTCCTGCACCATTGTCCGCCGGCTTAGTTACCGCCAATTGCAACAATCTCTGCCCCATGGCATACGAATGCGTGACGAATGGCGCACTGATCAAGTTCAGTTCTATATTGGTCGGATTATTTGCCGTCAAAACCGCTGTAAAAGCCTCCCCATAGGCCAGACCGCCAGGAAGCGTTGTGAAGGCTGGAGGGTTGGCACCGAGGTAGTCTGGGTTGTAAGTCTGGAGGCGCAGCTCCGTGGGAAGGTAACCATAGAGAGTGTAGAATTGATGGGTGTTACTTCCGGCGATTAAGATGCGTCCGTCTTGCAAAAGGTTTGCGGTGGAGTGGTAAACTCGGGGGATATCTGTGGCCGTCAGGGTTGTAAATCGCGTCCCTTCCGCGTTGTAAGGCTTGTAGAGATCGGGTGCAGTGACGGGGTTCGAAGCGCCTCCCCATCCTTGAGCGCCGTTAGCTGCACCATTGATGATGAGCACATCACGCGTGGGTAGGAGCACCATATCTCCCATGGTTCGCTTCTGGGGCATGTACTCCATGGCCCAGCCTGCGTTGTCCGCTAAAGGCGCAATTCTACCGCAAGTCTGAGAAGCGTCTGCACCGGTGTTCCCGCTCAAGTACGCGCCGTATTGGGCACCTCCGCAGACGAGAACCTCCGGCCAGCTGAACCCCCCATCTGAGGTGAGGGGCAGGAGCACGGAGCTTCCAGCTGAGGGGTAGTTCCGGGGCTCACCAGGGATGGTAGGGAAAGTCTTTGTCACGGTGTTGGTCTGCCAATCATACAGGATCGAGTCCCTGTTTGCGAAGATAAAGAGCTGGTTGTTCGGCAGCAGGTGCACGAAAGGGTACAGGTTGTCCTGCTGAGCATCGCTTGTCTGCATTAACATCGCATATCGTTGCAGTTAGCAAAATCGCCCCGTGATAAGCAAACATGTCCTGTAAATGCGCATCAAAGATAGAGAGCCTGCTTCGCACCCAATTCTCTCGAGTACAATAATCAACGAAGGACTGTTCGTCACGGTCCCCGGCCAAGGAATAGGAGCAGCCCGGTGACAGAGATGAAAGCGACTATTTGAAGGATGGACTTGACACTAGCACAAGCACCAGGAGATACAGATTGGGACGTGTAAGGTTCCTGTTCTATCTAGCTTCGAAATCGACAATTTCCCAGATGCACGAACAGCTATCTTAATTGCCTTGAAAAAGCATGTTGAGGGATGCGGAGGAGTTAGGATTGGGTAATTAGATGCTTAATTGATTTATTGTTTGTAAGGCAAAACTTGGTGTAAGATCCCAAAATCGTCAGAAGGACATCCTGCGAATGAGAATTGTGTACATGTGTTCAGTAAAAATGAACAAATTAATTGTTTCTTATAGATGTTCTGGCGAAGTTATTTCGCACGGTGTTGCTTTTGGGACGTGAGTGGTTGGGTTTGGTACCTGCTCTAGGAGATCCAGATAGTAGGTGCCGCGGCCGTTGGCGGGGACGTACTCAACTGTGAAGACACTGCGTCCTCCCACGACGATTTGCGTTCCGTCGGGAAGAATTTGGTTGGTGGCGTACCATCTTCCGTTTTGCAATTGTGTATCTTGCTCCACCCAATCGCAGTTTCCATCACCGCATAAAGTTCGAATCTGCAAATTTTACTCACACAACTCGAACACTCATGGAATTGTTGTTCATTCATTGTATTGACCGCGGAGAGAGTGAGATTTTCAATACCAAACTCGAATTGCATCTAGAAGGGCAGTTAAGTAGTTTTCTCTAGCTTTTGGGTTAAAGAGACTGATTGAGAAGAAGAGTGAGAGTGATTGATACCTTCATTAGCCCGTCGGCGTCTCCGCCCGTTTGCACCATATTTCCGTTGGCATCGAACTGACCAGACGAGCACCAAGTGTCGGTATACACAAACAGAGGTTTAATTCCATTTCCGTTGGGAGTGTACAGGGCTGAATGCGCGGTACAATCATGTGTGTTCGCCTGAATTTCACACACAGGATTTTGGCTTTAGTGAACGAGTACATGCCCACACAAAGATCAGTGAAGTCGAACGTGTGATTCAAGTGAATCTAAAAGTACATACAACATGGCCTCGTAATCGTCGCCATAACGAAATCCAGACCAAAATTTCGAAACTCAGTTCGGCTGCAAGCAAAAGCACATGCAGCCTGACTAAGTAAGACAAGGATTTACATTTCCGAACGAACTTAATTCCACTCAGGTCGTCGGTTGACACGGTACTAGAAACAGGTTTCATTACCAACTGTGTTCAGTAGAAAAAAAATAAAAAAATAGTCATGACTGACACTGGTTACTGACGAAACATGAGTATTCAAATTTTGCAGCTCTTGTGGGCATGCTCAGGTATGCAGAAAGTAGCAGCATCCTGAGGCGGAATTGGCTTTCGGAAGAGAGTGGTATCTGGACAAGACTTCCTCCTGGGTAGGATATCGATCTTACCCTGTCTGCAGGATTATCCCGACACACACCGTTCGGAAGAGGGAGCTGGGAGTCCCCAATGTTGGTTCTGTCCAGGAGTATCACTGCACCCGTATGTGTCACAGCCGTATGCATAGATGCTATTCCTGCATTCTCCACCACTGTCTCGTACCAATCTGCTTTCACTCCCCACATCAATATTGTCACAAGTTCCAGCACCAATAACGACGCCACCACCACTCGCGCCATCCTCCCTTGTTGATCAAACCCCTCTGCGGATTTCTTCAACACTCTCAGACTCAACCAATACAGGTCGCTCCAAACTGGTTACTCTGCAAAATTTCTAGTCACCCTTGCAAAATTGTCGGGCACACGCGGCCAAGAGAGGTGAGTCCCCACGAGGTACGAATGCCGAACATATGAGGACTGCGAAGGCATTCGACTGTCTCAGACTCTCCGAGGAGCTCATATACCAGGTGACATCGAATCAATCGCGACGGAACCGGGCTGAAAATCTCCCCCCACCAACGTGATCAGCCTGGAAAGTAAGGCGCATAGCAACAGCCGAAAATTGTTCGACATTTCACGAGGTGGGGCCGCGCCCACCTCCCCTGCTCCGATGGCTCGAACAATGCTCGCGAAAGAAGGAAAAAAAAAAAAAAAAAAAAAAAAAAAAAACACACAGCTGCTTGCGTATGTTGGCCCACCACCGTCCCCGATGCCTGTCGGAATCGATCAACATACGCTTGAAGTAGTTCCTACAGCCAACTTCCTTCAATGATCACCCCTGCTTCCTCTCCTAGATTGACAGAGTTGACCATAGCTGCATCGTTTGTGGAGCCCATGTACCGTTTTTATACATTTCCTCGCAATTTTCAACTATACAGTCATGATCCCATTGCTGTCGACAAAATTCCTAAGCTCGTCGCTCTTACTCACAAATTGCTACTACAGCTACTTACTAGCTGCCAACTTTCTCTTCGTAATAATACGACGCGATGTCGATGGGGACCACTGCGTATACCCCAAAACTTACCGCGACCAGCTTGCGGGTTCGACAAACCACCGATTTTTGACAGATTCATCCATTTATCTCATGTTTTAGATTGGAAGGAGCGTGCTGCTCACGATTCGCATAGAGCAATCCACCAATTTTTTGATCTGCGTTCTTGCTTGATGATTCACTCCAAGGCACTGCAGTGCTTGCAGGCTTGGAGTGAACTCTTCTACATAAATTTTTAAAAATTAGAAATTAGAAACCAGGCGAAAGCTTTCGGTGCAACTTCTGTATGAAGTTGAAGCTTCCATCGATAACAAAATCGATCTGCGTGCACCCAGTATGAATTTCTCTCGACTTATCATAAAGTGTTCACCGCTGCAGGTTTCTTGGCGGAGAGCCACTGTGCGCAGTAGCGTTGTTAACTTAATTCCCAACTTGATATTCAGATATGGTTCACCTTCAATATTCTTTTCTTTTCTTTTTGTGAGGATTAATGCTCGAAAAAGACCATGAAAGAGGTCTTCATTGACCCTGCGGGGTGTGGTGCGACTGCATGGCTCTCGGGAGATGAATCGTTTTTTGTGGTAACCTTAGTATACGTCGTTCAAACACAGCACTATGCCATGCCGTTTATCCGCTTTGTTTTTTTATCTAGGTGACAAATCGCCGAGTATGAGTCATCTTTATTTGATGCAGCTGCAATAATTCATGCTCATCAACTTAGACGGACTTTTCTTGTCGTCGTCGTGGTCGTCGTCCTTATGGAGTGGTGCTTTCACGTACGTCGCATGTAAAGATTGTTTTGTAGCTTGCTGCAAAGGCTGCACAGTGGCCAAGGCCGCCACACATCATGTGTGATCTCTCATCTGTGACTCAATTTATTTTCGACTTCGAATCTAATTCTACTGCGCAAAGATCCGCATTCTTTTCCGGGTAATTCCAAATTCCCGTGGTAAAGCGCAAAATCCTGTTAACGCTGAGGACATGAAGCCACCATGAACCGCATAATCTTGCTCACAGATCTTCATCCATGGCTGCTAGTCCCCGCAACTTGATTTTAATAGATCACAACCAGCTCATAAAACTATCGTCATAATAGAGCTAGCCCACCAAATTGTGTATAAAATCAATGCGTTTCCGCTGAGAAGATCCGATCCTTTATCTCGTTAATTTAGTCCGCCAAGTGTTGGACTAAAATATTAACAATCATTTCACCCAAATTTCGTTAAATTGTTTTTAATGCAGAATAAGGCAGGCATTTCCAATTCTTTTTCGTTAAGCTGGAAGTGAGGTGCATCAATCAGTTCCATCTCGTGTTATACTTGAGCCGCGACAGCGTTGCCTCAAAGGTCAAGGTCGAGGGAGAATTTTCCACTCCCCGCTCCGTACTCTCCGCATCCACCATCACAACGTCACAAATCGCTTTCGCCAGGCCCTAAGATGTGCAAACTCGTCCGGCAACGGTCAACATGTGCCTGTCTGTGAAAGCAAGCTGAGGAGGTTGATGGTGGGGCCTCTAACAAAACGGGTCAAATGATGTGACTCTGACGCAACCTCCGACGTCTGAATTCTCTAGCTCAGATCAGGCAAGCCAAGTAGCGCCAGTCGGTAAAATCCTTATCACCAAACCCTGAGAGGTCCTTAGCGTGACCGTATTCCTTCTCCGTTGCAGCGTCAGAAACAAAAGTCCAGCTCAGTCGGAGTGATTCCACGGTCAACGCAGGAGCTGACCGACGATCCCCAGCCGATTGTCGGGATCCAGCTTGCAAGCTCTGCGACTAATCGACGCACTAATGAATACAACACATCGTTGAGGAACCCTGGTCCTCATCGACAGTCTGCACGGTGGATCGATTCGCTCACGGGCAAGACTCCGTTATCGATTTCGCCGAGCCTCCAACCAGGTCATCGTGTTGCAGCGGGATGGCTAATATTGCTCCGACAGCTCAGACACGAACTGCAAACGTACAATCCGTCTAGACCGCCTACGGACCGGATGAAGATGTCGTGCCGATTGTGCAAGATAATTCGGGGAGAGTAGAATCGTTCATAGTGCAGTGCAAGGTGCTGTTCTCGCTCCTTGTCCTAGTCCTTGAGCTCTGCGCTGCAAGGCTAAGGATCCACGCCAGCCTGCCAGATTCCTGCACGATCCACATTCTCATGCGCCATGCGCGTTTCGCAAGGTACAAGCTGCAAGTTCCGCCCCGCACTGCACCGAACCACCGTCGCCATTGACTTGCTGCTTCCTTCGTCACGCGTTCCACGAAAACCCTAAATCTGCCAATCGGCTGGATTTAGGGCTTAGGGTTTACATGAGGTTTTAGTCTAAATCTAAACGCGGATTTTTGCTTCTTTTGTGGTGGACATTTCTTATCTTCGTTCATGTGGAGTCTTCTTGTGAATGTCAACAAAGCCCCTTTCTCTGGGAAGGGGGATTTCTTGTGGAGGAATCAAGTGGGTTAGTCTTTATTTTGATAACTTGGGATGCAGTAAAGAGAGGAGCTTTAGGTGGAGCCCATAAATTTTAGATTCATTTTTCATGTCCATTATTCATATTTTATAAATTTATGTTTCATTTTCTCATTATTCTATTAGAAAGTTATTTTCTCCAATGGTTACCGTGTTGACAATCTATCATTGGCTTCTCAATTCTCTATTTAAACTTTCACTCACTTATTCTCCTTCTTTAACAATTCATATTAATTTGAATGTTTGTTAAGAGTGTGAATAAGTTTAGGGGATTGTCTTATAGTTCCATGTGGTTCAAGTGGCATTATCAACTAGAGCACTGCCATCCTTTGGAGAATGCATTCTATAGAGCTAATCCATTTGTTCAATTGCATGTAGCAAAATTTTTAATATATGTATCAGCCTTTTACATTAAATTAAATTAAATTTTAAAAAATAAAAACTTAGCAAAAGTGTTATTGAAATCTTTCGAAAGATGAAAATGATCATTTTATGTCTTCATAAATAATTATTATTTCAAATCCAACTAAATGATCATGTATTTATTTATTTATTTATTTTTATTTTTTTGAATTGAGAATGTTGACTTAATTTCCTACATTTCTATTTTTATTTTAGGAAATTATTTTTTGAATTTAATATTATATAATTTGAGCATTATCTACATATATATATATATATATATATATATAGAGAGAGAGAGAGAGAGAGAGAGAGAGAGATTTGTTACAGTGAAATTCAAATTTTAATTGAAAAATAAAATAAAATAAAAATACAACACTGTATACTACACCTTCACACATACACTTAATCAAAAATTTCTTATCACAATAAAAATTGAAGTGTGAATAACTACTCCAACTATAGAAAACAACACTCCATGTTTGAAAATTCTTCGTACAACTTTTAAACGACTATAATATGGATTTTTCCAAACGGTGCAAAGTCATGAACCGCGTCAAAGCAACACACACGGCACACACCCACACACGCACAACTTATATAATCAACAATGCATAAAAAATAAAAAATAAAACAAAAAAAAACTATTCCGATTGATTCCAACACAAGCAATGACCACAGTCAACAAAAAGAATGGATGGATGGATGGTTAGACGGATGGATTAAACACCCCATTTATCCATCAGGTCGTGGACTAGGGTCCCATTCATCGAAGGCCACGAAATGATTGTTGAGGGGGTAGCTTCAGCATCCACTCCAAGTGCGTTGACCGCGCCATTGACGTTGAGCATTGTCAACGCGAGGGTCTCAATCATAAGGTCAACGAGACGGTCTTAATCATAAGGTCAACGCGGGGAAGACGGAGACTCGCACGTGCCCTTTGGGAAGATTCTCCCACCATTTTCCACCAGGAATCTCGTAGCTAAAAATGATGAACGAACGTCGTCCATTTTCCTTTCCACATCCCGTCACCATCCATCCAGGTGCCCCATTCAGAATGCCCCGTCAGATCCCCTCCACAGCACATCCACTTGGAGTAAACTGTAAATTAAAATAATATTAACGGGCCTCAATTATACAGTTGGATGCAGAAACCCAAAAGAGTTTGTTCAACTTACGAAAACGCAATGCCAGCTCAGATTTCTTGTCACACAGTGCTATATGCTGCTGTATGACAGTGCTTGTTTCTTAGCTCATGTGAACAATTTACTTAAGGTAAAGCATCTTACAAGTGCTAGTGGTGAAGCTATTAATGCCTGTTGTTAGGGTATCTATGAGTACATAATATGTGCTCTATCCATCTGAATCCATGTATGAACTGAGTATGTGTAAAGTATGTGTTGGTGTATGTAGTACTTTGTTATTCCATCTGCATGCTTTCCCTCACTCATGCTTTTTTGTATGCTTTTTTTTGTTTGTTAATGAGCTGACATGACTTATGTTCCGGAGTTTTCTCAATGGTTTTGGGCATTGCTTTTGAAGTGTTGGACTCATTCCTTTTGTCCTCATGTCCTGCAGAATATGTGTGATGTTCAGTCAACCCCTTGATATGTGCTCCTTTTTAACTAAGAATAGGGAAAACGAGCTGACCTATATTTTGT